AAAAGCACTCTTCCTGTGCCTCCTTTTACGTTTACAAAACTGTGATGTCACTCTCAGGGTGAAGCCCAAGTCTGCTCTACTGTGACCCCCAGCCTAGCTAGAACTGTGCTCTGACAGCCACTTCTGCAAATGCAACCAGACCAGACACCTTTGGAGCTTCTATTCCTGACAGAAAAAGGCGGGTAAGGAATGAAAGTTGCCTCTTAGCTTATGTGTTTGTTTCAAGGTATCCAGAATGAGAAGACTTAACAGACTATAAATGATTATTTTTTTTAAAGAAGTAATCTGAAAAATGCATACTCATATCCATCTTCCAACTCACAAAGTATGACTAAGAAATGGGTGTCAGGCTAGAGAGATGTCTCAGTGGTTAGGAGCACTGACTGCTCTTGCAGAGGACCAAGGTTCAGTTCCCAGCACCCACATGGCAGCTAACAACTGTCCATAAACCCAGGGATCTGATGCCCTCTTCTGGTCTCTGCAAGACTGCATGCACTTACATGCAGGCACTCATATACACAAAATAATTTTTTTTAATGAGTAGCATTAGCTGCTGTCAAAGTTTTCCTATGTATCATCCCAAATGTCAAAGTTAATCACCAGTGTGATAGTATCAAAAGGGGAGGCATGTGGGGATTGATTAAGTCATGAGGGCAGAGCCTTTCTGGATGGAATTATCACCTTACAAAAAGATGTGAGGAGGGGAGTTCCTTCGTACAGTCTCTTCCACTACATGAGGACCCAGCAACAGGAGCCATCTGGGAAGCAGAGAGCAGTCCTCACTGGACATCGAAGCTGTCAGCACTTTGGCCTTCATCTTTCCAACTTGCAGAGCTGTGAGAAAGAAATGTCTGTGTTTTATAAACTGCCCAGTCTCAGGGATTTTACTAGAGTAGTATAGACTTTTGTGTTTGTTCAGTTTTGCTAATTATCCAGTTGGATATTTTAAGTCTCAGGTCAAGAAGTTTATAAAAGGGCAGCAAGGTTTCAGGAATTTTCTACAGTGAACTTACTGCCTTCGTCTATCCATTGCTAATTCTAAGATTGCATGTCATTTCTTTTAATTTTACAGAAAGGGAAAAGAGATAAGGAAAAGAAGAGAATAATGACATTTGCTACACAAAATGTTGCAAAAGAGTAACTAATGCCATTTATAACTGATACAACCAATACCATCCCATTTCAGTTACTTGTAAGAATTTCTACCACTGTGCCTCATTTCAGTCAACCCATAGGACTAAGCCCTGACCACAATCTTACTATTTTCTTCCTTAACTGGTTAATGTACAGGTCATAGGGAGTGGATCACTTTCCTTTTGTTCCCAGTAGGTGCGGATTTGGCATATTCACCTCTAGAAAGTACCATACTTCACCAGTCATTTTGAGGCATTAGCTAAGAACCAGTTCAATCACTGATGTTTGAAAACAACTTGGCCCCATGTGGTTAACTTCCACAGCATTTATAAGCCATTTAATAGGTACCATCTTTTACTCATCATTCTTGTTCTGTGGGAAATCAAATTCTGAACTTCCTTGGGTTGGATTTCCATCATCTCTGCACAATAGACCCCACTCCAAAAGGAGCTCCCCTGAAACCCTGCCAGGAGCAGGAGCATCTGTGGCCATAGCAAGCCAGAACCATTAAACCAAATGACTAACCTCGTTCAAGATACCCCATGTAAAGCCCATCTACTTAACTGATGACTGTACCCTACAGAAAACTACCAAAGGCCCAAACCCCCCAATAGCATCATGTACCTTTCCAGAGCTCTGATTTTCCTTATTTGGAAAATTATTATACAAGTGACTTACTTCACAGAATACAACTATTAACATGTTTTTAGTGTGTGTGTGTGTGTGTGTGTGTGTGTGTAGGTATGTACATGGATGTCCTCAGAGGTCAGAAGAGGGTGTTGGGATTCCCTGGAGCTAGAGTTATAGGCAGTTCTGAGTAACCAGATATGTGTCCTGGGAACAGAACGTGGAACTTCAGCAGGTGCTTTTAAACACTGAGCCATCTCTACAGCCCTAACTGTTAGCTATTAAAAAGCAATGTATAAGCAAAATGCAACTATAACCCAGTATGTGAGAACTGAAAGTCATCTTGTAAGGAACAATTGGCTAGTCACATTTTTTTCTACATTAATTCAGTATACATTATTGTATGACAGTACACCAACATACCTCTTTCTTTCTCCCTTTCTCTCTCTCTCTCTCTCTCTCTCTCTCTCTCTCTCTTTCATTTCATTTCAGTCCTTTTGAGACAGGGTCTCCCTGTAGCCCCAGCTGGCCTGGATTTTGCTATGTAAACCAAGCTGACCTCACAGAGATCTGACTACCTCTGCCTCCTGAGTGCTGGGATTAAAAGGGCGCACCACAACGCCCGACTGTTTTTGTTGTTTTTTGACATAGAGTCTCATTATGTAGCTCTGGATGGCCTGGAACTCACTATGTAGACCAGGCTGGCCTCAATCTCACAGAGATCCGCCAGCCTCTGCTTCCTGAGTGCTGGGATTAAAGGTGTGCAACCATCACCTCTGGCATTTACTTTTTTCTGGACACTTTCTTTGTCTGACTGAGGAAAAGACCGAGGCTACCAGGAAGGAGAGGCTCTTCACTGTATCTCGGACAACCACCATCTCTGCCCACTGTACACACTACACACGCGGCAGGGGGATAACTAAAAAGTATTCAGGAAAGTAGAGGTGCTTCTGTTGCTGAATCTTCTCTGTGTTTTTCTTTCATTTGGTGTTTTAGGATCCTTTTGGCTGCTGTTTTCTCACCAAAGCTTGCAACCTACTTAGTTTGCCATAGATTAAGAAGACCCACTGAAGGGGTACTCCAATTGCCGCACCTTGCCTCCCTGTTCAGTGTGGAAGGAGCCAGAGTGGTCTGTGTCCTGATTCCCTATTGGCAATTTGGGTAACCTTTTCAGAGGATGGTGTCAGGTAGGAATTGGTTAAGCAGTTAGGGTAAAGAGACCCCAAAGAAAAGTAGACAGTTTCTTGGCTAAAACTCACAATGTCCTTGGGCCTCTTAGCAACATACTCTGTTCTGAAGGCCAAAAATGTCAAAAGTATTTGGGAGCTTTTATCTAATCCTTCAAAGATTTTAGGGTTACCTCTTCAGAGGGGGGAATGTTAGAGTAGCCAAAAGCCCCGTGAAAATCAATCAATCAATTAAAAAAAAAAGATCACTTAATTCTCCTTAAACTTACTTTGGGGGTGGCTTTAATGTCCTTTCTAACTGCAATATTTAACATGAAATTTGCTTAGTTGTTCACATGAGGAAGTGCAAGCTCCCTCACACTAGTACAGACCTAGACACAGCCCGGGGCGGTGGGGAGGAGCGGGGAATAGGCTCTGTAGACAAAGCCTGAGCATGCTCCTTCCAGAGGTGCCAACTGCCTCAGATACTAGGGTTGACCACAATTTCATGAGCTTTCCTCTATTTTCCTCATGATGCCTTTGTGAAAATCTCTAGCTCAAGTTTCTTATACTAGTTATTTTGGAACATAAACAGCAGTTAAAACAAAAAAGAGAGAGCACGCCTAGTTTCAAGAAGTGATGCTACTGAAGAGCTGTATGTCAGGAGAAAATAGGGCCAACGGGGACATATGTACATCCCCTGAATGCATCCTCCATACATATAAAATCCCCTCTAGATTATAATACCAATAGAATGGAAATGCTATGTAAATAACTGCTGCACTGAATTTTTAGGGAATAATGACGAGGAAAACAAAGTTTGTACATGCTCAGGACATGTCCCAACGTGGTACAGCAGGATACAGGGGTGGTTGAATCCACGATGCAGAGTCCATAGACACAGAAATGAGGAAGAAAGACATATGACCTGATGAGCAAGTCTTTTGGTCGGGAAGCGAGTCAAACCCCTAGATTAAAAGAAGCCCAGGCATCCCCAAGTCCCTTCCTCTCTTACATAACTACTTACTAAGTCCTGTTTTCCACTATTCCGGTTCCTTATTCTTCCCAGTGAATCCTGTGAAATGTGTATTATCGCTTGTATTTCTCTTTTTGTATTCGCATATTAATAATGTTTGGAGATGTTTCTGGTTTTCTCTTCCTCAAATAAGAGATGAAATGTTCTGTTTAGATGAGACCAGGTGTATTGAGGGCAGTCTGGCCTTAGAGTAATTTTCTGCTTTTACTGTTGGGATACTGCGTCAGTATACACACATATAGTTTCCTCTTGTCTCCTCACTACTCATTTAACCTAAAACTCTGGTTTTTTTTGTTTGACACTGGGACTTGCCGTGTAGCCCAGGCTAGCCTTGAACTGGTGATCTTCTTGTCTCAGTCATGCTCCACCACACCCAGCTTTAACCTAAAGCTCCTCCAGTGAAGAGAGCTTTCCTCATTTCTTAAACAGCATCTTTCATTCCCATCACTGTCTGTTTTCCCCTTTTACTAGTGTGTCCCTTCCCTGGCCCACATCTCTACTCTTTCTTCAAAGTCTCTATTCTCAGAGCTTGTCTGATAGCACCCAAGTTCCTTTGACACATAGGTCCACCCTACACTTCTGATATCAACTACACATTATCTGGGATTATTACTCTCCTATGTCAAGTTGAAACATAAAATGAGAATTCAATGATTTTTTTTTTTTTAGCCTACAAAGGCAGCAATCGCATAGGGCTCAATCTTCTAACCCCAATACAGATTTTCTGTGCCCCTGGTATCTGTGATGGTCCCTTTCCCATGTAGGTTTAGATAGATCTTGACTATTCTTAAGTTGGCACAATAGCAGATAAGTTTCCATTTTACTCTGACAATGATCTTGATATACTAATCTACTTACTGTGGAGGATGTGGAATGTCGGAGATTTCCTCTGCAAAGATATCAACTACACAAATACAAATTTTTTAGGTACTGGAAGTTATGGTTATAGACATTGACTTATACACATCAGAGGGTTTTAGCAGACTCTACACTTCAAAAAATCCACAGAATTTTCACCAATAAATTCTATATTCAATATATTTCATATTTATTTTATCATTAGTTATACAACCCAGAAAAAGAACATTAGAATATTACACTTTTTTCTATTTGTTTTGTGTACATTCCTCCTTCCCTTTTCTTTATTGTGGTCTTAATCCCGCACACAATTGCATCATAATTATTATAATAAAATTGAAACTGAATAAGGAAAACATGGAAAAATACACATTTTTAAAGTTAAGAGATTTATATTTGATGTTGGTGCAGGAACTTATTGCTTTCCAAAATAAAAATATTCAAATTGGCATGATGGTTATTGAATTGAACTCAGTTCTAAGGATAAAGCACAGCCATATAGTGGGGAACTCGGGCCTCGGCCACCTGCTGCTTTGACTCTGGTGTTGTTTGCCTGGGCAGCCTGTCACATTGAAATCTTCTATATTGGACTCACGAGTAGGTTAGGAAGCAGGGCAGCATTTTACCATCTGTTCTTGCTTTCTGGATAGGTCTGAGACACCTGCTTTCTTTTCCAATGATTCCTTTTCCTAGTCACAGCTATATTTTTCCCAGCTGATGAATAATGTCTTTAGAACTTGACCCCAAATGCATTCACATGATTTTAGAACTGTTCGTATGATATCAGACTATACAAAGACTCCATGAAGCCAAGTAAGCATCTACCTTAGGGACACAAATAGAATGAACTCCCTGCTTACCCATTTGAACTTGTTGTCTGTCACTAAAACACACTCTATGGCTTTAGTTCCTCTACCTTTGCAATCCTGTGGTTTACAGTAGCTGCAGCTGTCTGATGGATACAGTTTACTTCAGTGTCAAAGGAAGTGGAAAGAAGTTGAGAAAATTCCTGATGTTGGGAAGCCCATCTCCCCTCCCCAAGTCCTGGCACGGTCTTCAGACAGGCCTAGGAGACATTTTAAAAGCTGAGACTTCAGAGATCTTCTTCTGTTATGGTCCCCCAAACACGGTCACCTTCAGCTTTCTTAATCTTGCTTTTTCTTAGTAGAAAACGAAAAAAGTCTTTCTGCTGGGACATAAACAGAGAGGTCAGAGACATTAAGTAAGAGGAAGAAATTTCCACAGTGATAGTAACAAAAATCTCATGGAGGTTGAAATAGTATGAAAGGGGCAGCAAAAAAGGTTGTATCTGGACTGGAGAGATGGCTCAGTGGTTAAGAACACTTGCTGTTCTTCCAGAGACCCAGGTTCAATTCCCAGCACCCACATGGCAGCTAACAATGGTCTGTAACTCCAGTTCCAGGGAATTTGATGCCTTGTTCTGACCTCTGCAGGCATTGCATGACATGGGTGCACTTACATACATGCAGGCAAAACACTCATACACATAAAATAAAAATAATACATGGTTTTTATTCTTCTTTGTGGGGGTAAGTGCCTTTCTCCTGGGACTGAGAACAGCGCCCCCTACTGGTTGGCTCAAGGAGCCGTTCTCTGAGTGCCTCTGGGCACTGGGGTGTCATCTAGGCCATACTTATCCCTGTCTCTCTTGTCCCTCTTCACTCTTTTAAAACCATGTAAATCTCAGTTCTTCACTAAGTCTCTTCTATATAACCCACAGAAACACAAACTCTTTAAAAGTATCCTGCTTACTGTAACGCCTTTTAAAAAAAGGTTGACCACAAACCTTCAGTTTGCCTTCAGTACATACACATTCATAAAGCAAAAGCCGTGGAGAGTGGGCTTCAGTCTTATGAACCTGTGTGTGTGTGTGTGTGTGTGTGTGTGTGTGTGTGTGTCTGGGGTCTTTGTGAGAATAGATATATGTGCATGTGTGGGAGGATGTGGACACATGTGGAGGCCAGTGGTCGACATCAGGTGTCTTCCTCTGTCATTTACTACTTTGTTTTTTGAGTCAAGGTCTCTCACTGAGCTTAAAGAAAACCTCAGGGATCCTCCTGGGGTCTTCACCTCCCCAGTGCTGAGATTATAGGTGCACACCCCAGAACCTAACATGGGCTCTGGGAGTTGAACTCAAGTCCTCCTGCTTGTGCAGCAAACACTTTACTAAGACATCTCCCCAGTCCCACCTGGGGAACTTTTTAAAAGTTCTGTGGCCCAGGGTCCTCAGATCAACTAAATCAGACTCTCTGGAGTGGAACCAGATATCATTTGTGTTTTAGAGCACACCAGAGAACTGCTTCCAATGAGCAGCCAAGGCTGAGAATCCAGGGGCTGGCCATCAGTAGGCTATGGAAACGGATGAACTTAAATGCTGTGGCGATCATCATCTACAGTTTGCTAATAAAGAAATCAAAGCATAGCCAGGCGTGGTGGTACACATCTTTAATCCCAGCACTCTGGAGACAGAGGCAGGCAGGGCTCTGTGATCTAAGTGGTGAATTGCACTCCAGTCAGGGTTTATAAATAAATAAATAAATAAATAAATAAA